GTACCTTCTAAATTGCAAACAAGATCCAAGTCAAGCCTTAATTTTAAACATTTATTTAATATTGTTATAGAAACTTTTATCAACAGATTAACATAAATATACCTATGTTTAAGTTCTTAAGATGTCAACGTATACTATGCATGTACAGGATTTACAAGAATATTTATGGTACCTAACTGGGAGTCATCCAGGTGCGATACCACCGATTCAATGTAATCTTTTATTTTTGCCAATTTAGTTTTATTATACTAGGTCTTAATTAAATCTTCTAAATCTGACGAAGAAGTTTCCAATATTTCTTACAAATTCTAAAAAATTTACATATTTTAGAAACAACTTTTCATTTGCCATCGCCATATTTGTTACGACTGAACTGAAACTGAAAACCTGTTTCTAAACTCGGTTCACAAAAGTGCGCACTGGTTTATTTTTTTGAGTTCAACTGATTCCAACCGAAAATTCAAAAACTGACCCGGTTCGCACTGCTCTTACGAGTCGTAAACAAATTTTGCACCTAGTGTTAAAAAGTGCGCACCAGTTTCACCAGTCGAAAACGCCATAAATAAATGAAATTTTGTCGTCAGTTAAACTCATTATGGTAATTGTCTGTTTAATTACATTATTACGTTAGGCAATAGAATGTATGATAAGGTAATGGTTTATTAGCAGGATAATACTCAATTTGTAGCCGCTTGAGTCTTCGTAGAGATGAATTTGGTTCGGCTATTTGGAGTTTTATAGTGGACCGTCACTTGGGATTGCTGGATGTGAGTAAACTTTGGTGTCCATTTACATACAAAACTTTTGTTACGACTCACCCCCTATTTCACTAGCTAGTTGGCGTCCAACACTTGTATTAATAGAAATCTCACCTCAAGTGCTTAGGCATAGAAAGGAGGTAGCACAAACTACCAAATGAAGTATGGTCCAACGAAGAGTTTGAGACAGTGGTGCAATGCCCAGCAGGTGACCCAACATTTATTATTTAATAGTATATAATGTGTAGTTTATGGTAGGCTATGTAAGTTGTAAATTAATTTTAATTACGACTGTAATACACTATATAGATATTCTGTTTAAAAAGTTTTCGTGTCTTTTATTTTAGACATCAATATCTACCTGAAAACTGCTTGGAAATTATTTGAAGTTTATTAAAGAGGCCATCAAAACAAAAATATTCTCCAGAACTCAGGGCGCTTGCATTAACACTCAATTTTTATTCACTAAAAGCCTATGAATACCTCAGGGAGTCCTTTAATAATACTTTGCCTCATCCTAAGATCTTGAGCAAGTGGCACCACTCAGTAAATGGTACCCCTGCACTAACTAAATAACTGAAGAAGCACTGATAACTCTTACTTATAAGGTCCAGGACATGAAATCCACAGGGAATGAAGTTCCTTACAACCTCATTAAAAAACAAGTTGATTGGACCGGCCTGATATTAACTGGGTATATATATATAGGTATTCCGGTAGACAGTGGTGACTTGGAAAAAGCCACCGAAGTTCTTGACTATGTGCTAGTAGGTGTTAATGGTTAATGGCATACTTTTTTAAATGGTGTTGATTCAATTGAAAAGGCAAATATTACTACTACTGTCCTTGATTTTATGTGGTAGTTACATCATTCACATTTGATGGAACTCCAACTAATTTAAAGACAGCACAAGAGTTGTGAGCAAATTTTAGTAATGTTGACAGCATAATTTTTTATTTCCGACATCCCATTACTAAAGAAAACATATTTATTTAGATGCTTGTCACGTATTAAAATTAGTTAGAAACACTTTGGCTAATAAAAAAGTTATAACACAGATGGGATAGAATCCAATATAAAATGGTACTACATAGAAACAATTTACATTTAAAAAATTTACAGTCACAAGGGTTGTTAACACGGACCCAATTAAAAAGAAGGCACGTTCAGTGGGAGAAGAAAAAGATGAAAGTTAGATTGATAAAGCAGAATCGTTCATGAATGTTATTTCTAGTTTTAATATGGTTAGAAGATTGAACTTAGTCCAAAGAAATGGTTTCGAGACAAGGTGCGTTTTGAGTGCTCTGCGCTATAACAATGGAGTAAAATGGCATTTTAAAGCTTGGAAGCAATGTTTTCAATGCGATCCCCCTTTTTCCTAAAAAAATATATAACAAACGAAGAACGCGAAAAAATTAAAAGTCCCATTACACGCGCTCCGCGGGATCCAAAACTCGTGTATACACTACATTACTGTAATTTGATTTTTTTGCGATTTCCAGTTTTAAATTTCTTGCATATCTAAATTTATTAGGCTTAAAATTTATTAAATTGTATTTTACTGACTTGTTATAAGACGTTTCTTGAGTTTTGTGCAAAATATAGAATTACCAGATATTAGCGAACTAAAAGCAAGCTTATCACCAAGTTGGAACTTACACTCAGGCTTAGGATTAATTTCCTAACATTTTTAAAGTATACCTTTTTGTGTATTTTTTTGTGCTCTTTTCGATGGCGAAGTTAGTTTTTTCAAATATATTTATTTTGTTAGATGTTTTCGGAAAACCCGGAAAAAATCACATGGGAAAAAAATTAAAAAAACAACGCCTCTGGTTTCCTGCGAATTCCCGAAAAATTATGACAGATTTCGCCGCGGGACTTATTTTATTTGAGAGCCAACAAAAAAATACGCAACTTCTCTCATGGGCACATATGTCTAACATTTATAATTTCGCCACAAATTCATCGCAAATTTCATGTCCATGGTTCTGATCAAAAAAACGAAAAAACGACTTTTTGGTAAAAGCACTTCTGGCGGCGAGAAATTCGCCATTAAAACTACCTGTGCAATGAACTTCCGAACTATTTTTGCCTCCTCTTTCGAATAGTGCATTTATTTTCACTATCGGAATGATACTTGCCCAGATAATTAGCATTTTTACAATGGAAAATTCCGGAAAACCCGGTTTTTCCTAATTTAAAAAAAATGGAAAAACTGCTACATCTTTTTTTTCTTTTTTTCGGAAAGATCACATCAAAATACACAAGGTCCTTTTTGTTTCATCCAATTACAAATTAATGTAAGCTCGAAGGGGCTTTTTTTCGTTATTTAATTGGACTATATCCAGTGGAAAGTGTTTTAAAAGCTATAGATATTTGTTTCAAATGGTACCACGTATTTAACATAAAATATCAGTTTGAATCTGAACATATATGGTACTTCATCCAGCTTGCCATATATAACCTGAAAACAAAGTGGGATAACCCTCCTCCTTGACATAATTAATAAGGTGAAGTTATAAATATTATTTTTATGTTTATGTTCGTTAGATTTAGTTTGTTACTAGTAATGTTTCAATGCCAAAGTTGTCAAAGAATTAAGCAATTCTGGAACTGTGATTTATATATAAACCATTTAAAAGGGTCTCATAGATTTTTAGAGATTTTTGTATGTGAAGGAGATAAATGTCTACAAAGTTTTAATTCCATTTATTCTCCTACTAAACATATCAAAATTAAACATAGCAAGAATAGTATAGTATTACTAAAAAGTAGTACTAAAAACGTTTCAGAAAACTTTGAAAATAAAACTTTAAGTAAAGAATTATTAACCAGTGATATGTCTCCGTCATCTTCTGATATTTCTTCTAACTCTAATTCACTGGTAGTAAAATATTTACACAAACTGTATGCAAATCCTTCATTGACAAGAAAATCGATACAAGATTTTGTAGAAATGACAAACTATTTTTTTGAAGAGAGAATGTATGAAATTAGGCCAGAAATTAAAAATAAAATTTCTTCATTAAATACAAGTAAAATTACAGAACTTTTAACGTAAATCCCTTTTCTGGAATTTTAACCGAATATGAACGTTTTAAATGAATGGAATGGTCAAATAACTTTATCAAACCTGAAATAGTAGAAATAGGACATATTTTAGATGATAAAAGGCTTAGAGGAGAAGTTTTTTTAGGACACAAAACCTGTTACGCTGAAATAATAGACATAAAAAAGTATTGAAGCAGTTCTTAGAGTTGCCAACGATTTTGAAAACAATATTGAGTTTTGTAGAAAAAGAATCTAAAAATAACGAAAGTTTTAGTAGTATTTTTACTGGAAAACTATGGAAAAAGGTTAAAAGTAAATACACCAATAAACTCTTACTGCCAATTCTCTTTTATTATGATGATTTTGAATGTAATCCTTTGGGTACTCATTCAGGAGTACATAAACTGGGAGCAATATATTTTACCCTAGGCGGAATACCATCAAAATATTTATCTCGATTAGAAAATATATTTTTTTTGGGGCCTTTTTTATTCATCTGATAGAACTACATTTGGAAACAAAATTATTTCTCAAGTGAAAGATTTAGAAGAAAATGGTATTGAGATAAATGTAGATGGACAAATTCAAACTGTCTTTTTTACGCTTTTCATAGTTTTGGGAGATAATTTGGGTATAAACTCGATATGCGGCTTTAATGAAAGTTTTATATCAAATTATTATTGCAGGTTTTGTTTTGATGACAAAGGAATGACTAAAAGCTTGTTATTAGAAAACAAAAATATGTTAAGAAATGCAACAAATTATAAGAAGCATTCATTAAATAATAGTTTTGGTGTAAAAGAATATTGTATAATGATTTAAACAACTTTCATGTTACAGAAAATTTAGCATGTGATATAATGCAGGGTCTTTTAGAGGGCGTATGTCGTTATGATATGGCTGATATCCTAAACTATTTTATATACCATAAAAAAGAATTTACGCTTGAGCAATTAAGAGAATAAATTTTTTTGATTATAATCAATATATTGACATTGGCAATAAAATTCCCCCAGTGTCAGAAAATCACTTAAAGAAAGGTCTTTTAACAATGTCTTGTTACGATCAGATTTTGCAATTTTATGATTATTTAGTAGGTACGCCAGTGAATATTTATTAGAGCTTTTAAGCTGTTAGGCGGATGCCGAAAACGACTACGAATTTGAAGTACATATAGAAAAATCTTTAAAATGTCATACCGAGGCAGAGGTAACCCAAGCTACTACGGCAACCAAGATCGTGTTTATTACAACCGTGAGTACGATGACTACAATAGTCAACCATCTACCAGTCGGGGCCGTGGCCGCGGTAGAGGTAACAGAAGAGGTGGTAGGAATAATAACAATAATAGTTATCCACACCAAAATAATAAGAATAATAATAATGACAAACGAAATGATGAGAATACTAAGAGTGACAAACCTGAAATTAACAATGTACCGGAACCAAAACACCTTTCTAAAACTAGTTCCGAGTTGACGAATGATCCGCTTTATGAAGAAAGCTTTTTTAAAGAGTTCGGCTCCTCGTTAAGGAGAGATGTTGATGACCCTAAAATACATAGTGGCACAACCGGACTTAAATACATAATTGAGAATTTATACAAAATATTCGTCACTAAGGCTGCGGGCTTTGCAAAACGTATGCCAGAAAGCGCCCTTGCCGATTATTGTGCAATCTTGACAACCCAACGTTTACTAAAAATACATATTGAAAATAGTTTTGACGCTAACTACGAGACAACCAAATTTGTGCGAGATATCGACAATGCAAAATACTTTTACCCTAAGACATTGTCTAGATACTTATCTGGTTTTGGTAATACCAGAATAGTTGGTGGAAGAAGTCTTAAATTTTACTATCCACCTGCTGTCGCACGTAAAGTAACTGTTGATGATTTGAGATGGTGGGGTCGAGTTAACGATCAGACCCATCATTTATATTTGAACTATCCTTGTACGGCAGTTTATTATAGCCGTGTTGTACATGATTATGTCGGTCGACAACAATTTGTCGAAGCAGAAGGAGAAGAAGAAGAGGAAGAAGATGCTGACGAAGACTTGGATTTGCCAGCTCGAATACGACCACTTCAGTGGGACAGAAGCTCACCTAATGTGAATTTACAAGGTTGGAAGTCTAGAACGCATTTAACCAATATTCAGCGTGGTTTCCTCGATACTGCAGATTTTGATCCTCGTGAATCACCTCGAGGGCTAGAGTGGAATTACAATCCCTCTTGGATAAATGCAGTTTCGATTGAATTAGAAAACTTAAACTTTATAGAAGCTGGAACGGTTGCTGAATCCAGTGGCGGTTCGCAAGGTCAGACGACCTTTGCTTTTCCATACAGCGATGACGAGTTACCAGTTAGTACTGGTGACTTTATAGGGAAGTCGAATTTGGACGTTTCTGGTCCTATCGCCAATTTAGGCGTTAAACATTTATATAGAGTAAAATACGATGAAGATTTGAGAAATTGGAGTATCTATTGGGAAAATCGATCATTTGATCATGTCCCTGCGGCCTGGTCCGCTACAGTTAATACTTGGCGTGACGCAGAGTATCCCGAATTAACGACGGGTCGTTACAGTATTGAACTGTTCGATCCTAGAGAGTTTGCACGCTTAGTAGTCGAGCGTAACAACCGTAAAGTAAAGAAATAATTCACTGTGCGGCGTGACTAAGCCCCGCGATCATAGCTTAGCCTCGGTATTACCGGGCAAAATGCTACAAGTTGTTTTTTGCTGGGTGGGTAGCTTGAGTATTAGACTTGGGTTCTCCTAACTTTAGTTGGTGTACTAAAGGTCGGGCCAGAATTTAAGTTTTCCAATACCTAAATATAAATAAAACTATAATAACTGTGCAAATCAATCAAATTTATTTTAACCTTTTTTTAAAAATCAAAAATTCAGCAAAGATACTTTACATGAAAGTAATCACAAAGATAGAACCGATTAGTTCTTGTTATAGATAATAATTACAAAAATTATTAATATTAATAAAACTACCTACACACTTTAAATACGTTCCATTCATTTCTTATTACCCAGTGTGTACACACCACTCAACCTCTACAAAAATATATACATTTTTACATTAGTCGAGTAGTCGAATACGTAGAATACAATAAGTCGTATACAAAGGATCATGCAGCAGCTTACAAATAAAATATTATAACGTTATCACATCGAAGACTTCTACTATATGTTCTATAAGTTGCAACTTATTAAATCATAAAAAAAATTATCAAGCCTACAGATGGACATTGATAGAGTTACATCAAATTTAAATAGATTTCAACTCAAACGAATCTTGTATGTAAAATTTGACAAAATAATTTAGTATTAAAGTTACTGAAAATAACCAAATGTAATTCGTTGGAGCCAAAACAAAAACCTATGAGTCTATGCTCAAGACCACAATAAAATTATATAAATAAAAAAATTACTTAGCTTAAAACAGTAGATAAACAATCCACGGAGCATCCGAAGATTCGAGACTCTGCTTTTATTAAGTATTGATACTAGGTGGACATCAAAATGGTGAAGTTGGTGGCTCTATGTTAAAGATTTAAACCGCAAACTACATAGACTCATTGTACACCTCTTGACAAACTAAACTCTTAGACTGAACGACATCCAATCCAAATCAAAGAAAATCTAATTAACAGGACATCAAATATGTATGGTACAACATCACATATATATCCAAATTCCATAGGATATTTTCCATTATCATTAACATGGTAAATATCAAAGAACAATTCATCGTTATCAAAACCGTAATCGTACATATATTCGTACAAAAACTTGGTATAAAACTAGATACCAAAATGCTCCTAAAAACACGTGTTCTATGAAGATACACAAAAAAAAGTGACCAAAAGAAACTTACCGGTCAGCTTTCCAACTGCGTCATTAGCCAAATCCAGAATACAACTGTATTATTAAAAAATATATGTATGGTGTTCAAATCCCGCAATCCCAAACACTAAGGGCGGTTATTTACAACAATTAATATTATTATCTGCTGGATCAACTAAATCCTAATAGAGATGAACTAATTATTAATCTTTTATAAAACATTTACTAATTATAGTACAAAATGTACATCCTTAAAATAACAATAATATCGAATGCTACCCCATAATCGATTTATAAATTACAGAGTTACTAATCCTCAACAAAACTTATCCATCGTTAGAGTCGTAGTCTGTCGAAAACAGCTGATATGAATAGATTTGAATTATTCTAGAAATTACTATACACTCAGAAAACAAAAGTAGTAAGATAAAATTTTGAAAATATCAAATAAATATTATTTATTTCAGAGAAATGAAAATAAACGAAATTGTTTAATAAAGTGACGTAATTAAAAAAAATTGCAAAATCTGATCGTAACAGTCTTCCTCTGAAATGTTAGCCTTTGTGATATATTTTCCTCTTTTAGTTTCTGATTTAATTGATTACGGAGATAACCACTGGCAGTTATACCTAAAACTTTATGAAATAATTGAAATATGTTTTAGCACAGATATACATCCAAAAGAAGTGCAATATTTAAAACATTTAATAAAGGAGCACCACGAACTGTATATTTTACTTTTTAATAAAGATCTTAAGCCAAAATATCACTTTTTGATACACTATCCTACAATTATTGAAAATATAGGTCCTATTAGATATGTTTCGTCTATTAGGTTTGAAGCAATTCATAAATATGGAAAAAGTAATGCTCATGTTGCAACTTCAAGAATTAATATTATTTATACTTTGGCTATTAGATACCAGTTAAAACTGTGTTTTAGATTATTTAATAAAATTGTTCTTTCTGATAATATTGCAATTGGTACTACAGTGTGCTTTGAACCACCGATGCACATAAATTCAAACATAGATTTATTAAACTGGTTTAAATTTAATGGTGTACATTTTTGTAAACAATCTGTCATTTTTTTTAGGGAGAATAGAAACAAAAAATTTGAGTTTGGCATTATAAAAAAAAAATTGTGTAATTAAAACAAAAATGATGTCTATTTTCTTTGCGAAATTATAACCGATTTAGAGTTGAGTAGCGACAGCTTAGGAACCGAATTCTAGTGCGCCGACGCGAAATAGAGAGGCGAGACGTCGTCTAAAGATATAAACAACCCCTTTCACTTTAGTGCGGCAGCTGATATAGGAATTCGTTGTTGTGGATTTATTAGTGCTCTTTTATTGTGTTTTTGTTAAGATTTTTTGGGGTTTTGCGGGTTTTCATTATGCCAGGAAATGCATGTGCTTATCGTATATAAATAGCTATTAAGTAATCCATATTTTAATATTTAGTAGATTATTGTATTTTTTTATAGATATAGTATTACAAAACAGCTACAGAGGAGAATCCAGTTTGTGAAACCCGAGGTGAAACCCATGCTGCGCAATGTGAGTTTTTAAGCCAAACTTTTTAAAATATATAATAATTATTTTTTCTAGTTACAGAAATGTTTGCTAAACCAAGTACAGCCGGTGAAAAAGCTATTTGTGCAAATGTAGGGATAGTCGAAGGTAAGAGCATGAAAAGTGAATAATTTTTATATGCTCATGTAGTATGTAGGTATATATTTTTATCTTCAGGATTTCCTTTTTTTAGGCCCGAGTACTTCACGAGATGTTATCATCGAACCTTTGATAGTGAAGGTGCCACTACTTTCTCCAACTGTGAGCACAAAAGACGCAAAAGAAGGGTACTGTCAGATTTTCAATTAGAAGATTTCAAAACAATGTGTGACAGATTTTTGAGCAATCCTTTATCTACAATAATAAAGTCACATGTCGAAATGAAATCAAACAAACCTATATCCAGAAGATATTCGCTGGAACTAAAGCAGTTTGCTTTGGCGCTTTATTTCTTAAGCCCTAGATCATATCGCTATCTAGCTAATATGTTAACTTTGGAGAGGTTAACCTCAAGACTTTCGTGTCAACCTGGGCTTAATAATGATGCCATTAGAGAAATTTTAAGCCATCAAAAATTAACGTCAGTTTATTGGATAGTTATGGCTATCGTTATTAACGATAACCATAACTACGTAACAGTAAAAACAATTTTTAAGTCACATGTAAACGTGCCATTCGTATGACAAATGTCAAATTTTTGAATTTTTTTTATTTCTACCATTCCTCTGTTTTCTAGTGTTCTCGTGTCTCGTTGGCTTTATTTAGTTATAATTTGGTGTTTGGTTAAGTTTTTTAAAATGGAAAATTCACGTTCGATTATTAAAAGATGTCGACTACGATTCAAGGAAGAAGACAATATTTGTTTATTACGGGAAGTGGCTGGGCATAACCCATTTTTAAATAGTAAAATATGGACAACAGTGCATGAAAATGTTACTCTGCTAATCTCTTCTAATATTAGAAGAGATTAAAAAAGAATTGGGTAGTAGAAGAACCGATAATTGGAACAATCTCTTGGGGCTGAGACAGGCCAAGATACTTCTGGGTGAATATAACCAAAAAAGATCGGAAGCCTGCATCTGCCTGAGCAAGAACAGGCTACGTATTGTAACAGGGATCCTTACCGGGCACTGCCGACTAAAAGGACACCTAAGTAAACTGAGAGTAGTAGAGGATAGTGAGTGCAGATTCTGTGAGGAGGAGGACGAAACCTCCATTCACATCCTAACTGAATGTGTAGCACTCCAGAATCCAAGGGCACTATATCCAGGAGGATATCAAATAGAAGAGGGAGACTTACCTATTTTGAAGCCACTTCAAATCCTACACTTCCTTGAGAAAATAGGATTGGAAGTGTCGCTATAGGCATTGAGACATTTCCTTAGTGCAGTGGCGACAGAAGGGGGCACAATAGATCTTTTAGGTCGCAGTGTATTAACACCCCATTATCAACATAACATAACATATGTGGGAAGAATTTTTCTTTAAAAACATTAAAAGACCATGTGGATTTGCTTATAAAACTGTGGTTGGAGAAGACAAAAATCTTGAAAGACAAGTATGTATAAAATAATTTTATTTCTAAAAGACTTCATTTCTAATGTGATTTGTACAATTTTATATATATAAGCACTAACAGAATAGGAGGTCCATGACTTTATTTACAATTTCAGTCCACAACTTTTTGTTTAGCTCAATAGTTTTATTTGGCTCATCAATTTTTTTAGTTCCAAATATTTTTCTAAGCAATTTCCTTTCCCATATTTCTAGTGTCTGTATATCTTTCTGCCTTAATATCAAAGTTTCGCTTGCAAAGGTTACTACAATTTGGCAGATAAATGGAATTCAGCACTTAACATGCACATTTTTACAAATAAATTCATTAGTAACATAAAAATAGACTTAATACTGAAAATTAAAAGTACATTTCATTTATAGATCTGGAATTAAAGAAGCTTTCTTTGAGAAAGACCAATTGTGCCAGAACATTCATGATTACATGATCCAATTTAGGATAAAAGGAGAAATGGCAGCCAAAAAGAAACCAGATCATCCTGGAAAAACAGAGAGGTACAAGTGGGCTAATGCCATACCCAGCAATGAAATAACTACTCCCATAGTGGAATCAGTATTTATTAAAGATAACAACATGCCCTCTGCATCAAAAGAAGGCGAAAATGATGTCATTGTGGAGTTTGATCACACTTATAGAAGTAAAATTTTAT